GCACCCCAATATCTCCCTGATTTTCATTTCCAGACCCCTCCCAGCAAACCAACCACCCCAACACTCCAGTATCTCCCCCTTCCTTCACCTCCAGACCCCTAGCACCCCAACAACCCCCCAGCACTCCAATATATCCCTCATCCTCCTTTCCAGATCCCCCAAACACCCCAATATTTCCCCATTACCACTTCCAGCACCCCATCAACCACCTCAACACCCCAATATCTCCCCATCTCCATTCTGACCCCACCCAGCACCCCAATATCTCCCCCATTCCTATTCCCAGACTCTCTAGCACCCAATATCTCCCCCTACCTCCACCTCCAGACTCCCCCAACCGCCAGCCCCGCGGTGCCTCCCCTACCCCCACTCCCAGACCACCCCCGGCACCCCAATATCTCCCCCATCCCCATTCCCAGCCCCCCAACGTCCCCGCTATTTCTCCCCACCCCGTATCTCAGGCCCCACCTCCCCGGGCGGGATGCGGAACGCCTCGGCGATCTTCCCGTACAGCTCCCTCACGTTGCTGAATCCCTCAATGCGGCCCGTGGGACTGCCGTGAGCCAACTGCGTGTGAAACACCAACCGGGGCCGGAGCGCGGCGGGCGGCGGGGGCAACCCGGGGGGCTGCGGGCCGGCGGGGGGGGCACCGCCCGCACCCCCGTGATCCCCCCCGACTCCTCCGTCCCCCCCCGCCGTTCCCCCCCGGCCCCCCGCCGCCTCCTCGTTCTCCACCAGCGGTGCGGCCTTCTTGCGCCTGCCCAGGCCCAGCGGCATGGGGGAGGCCGGGGAGCCCCGGAAGGCGCCCCTCACCCCCTCAGTCCGCCCCGCGGGCGTCCCCCCGCGCCCGCTCCCCCGCGGAGTCCGTTCGTTCCGGGGGTTTTTCGGACCCCCCCGGCTCGTTTTCTCTGTGCCGGCGCCGCTGAGCACCGAAGTCGAGCCGGGCGCTGCCGGGGTATGGCACGCCGGAAGGGGCGGGGCTCACCTACGCGTCCGCCCAATCAGCGGCGCCGCCCTGTCCTCGTAGCCAACGGGACGCGGCGAGAGGGTGGAAGTAAGGGAGGATGTCTTCTTAACCAATAGGATGCGGCGGGAAGGCGGAAGTGAGGGCGGAAGTGAGGGCAACTCTGCCCTCCTGGAGCGTTTCCGTCCTCCATGCTGCGGCGGGCGCTCCGAGTGGCGTAACGGGAGCCGAGGGAGGCGGTGGAAGGGGCGCGGGGGAGAGCCGGCATTCCTGGGTTCCGCGTTCCCCGATCCCAATTTCAACCCAATCTCAATCTTAATCCTACCCAACTCCAATCCAATCCCAGTCCCCATCTCAACTTCATCCCAATCCCTCTCTCAACCCCAATCTCAGTCCCAACCCCACGCCCCATTCTCGTCTCAATCCCTATTTCAACCCAACCTCAACTTCATTTCCACCCGATTCCAATCCCACCTCAATCCCAGCTCCACGCCCCATCCTCATCCCAACCCCAACCCCACCCCACCCCAATCCAATCCAATCCAATCCATTCCCAGTCCCCTTCCAGTCCCATCCTAAACCCAACCTCTATGGGGACCTCTGAGGGCCAGCGGTGCCGTTATTAAATCCCCTTCCAACACAGCAGAAGTAATTAGAACTTTCTTAACAGCCAAACCCAGTAAGCAAGACCAGGAGCCCCCAGTTGGGACCGTGCAGGTATCCCGAAAACGGGTGTTTAACGATTTAATCCGGGGTTCAATTCGCAGTTCGTGTCCTCCTCCAATGCTCCTGGGTCCTGGAAGAACGCACAGCAGGTGATGGCGGCAGGGGGCAGACCTCCCTCAGAACGTCGGCGTGGTGGAAGCTGGGGGTTGGGCTATAAACACACGGAAGGTTTCCAAGGACCAGGCCTGGTGGTGAAATTCCTGGGTGTGGTTTGGGTGGGAAAGGCCGCAGCACTGCGCCGTGCAATAACTGACAAGTTCAGGCATTCCCAGTCCCTGCTGCAGCTGCAAGAATTTTGGCGTATGTCAGGATATCCAAAAATGGGACCGGGGGAGAACAGAAAGGCATTCCTGCAAGCACAGCCAGCTGCTCAGCAGGCCCAGGCACTGGGTGTATTTGATCCCAACCTTCCAGCTGAACTAAACGTTTATTAACTCAGCATGGGTTCTGCTGGGGCAGTGCCAAAATCCCATCCGAACCCCAGCTGGGTTCTGGTCTCAGATTTGTCACAGAGCAGAAAAAAAGGACGGCACGATTGAAGAGTTACTGGCGGCCAATTCTGCATTACAGGCAGCAGAGCCAATACGGCTGAGATCGTAGTTAAGACCATTTTGCCAATTTAAGGATAAAACGGAGGAAATCAGAGGGGAGGTGATAGGGGGAAATGGGGGAGGAGGGATAGCAGGGAGGAAGGGAGGGGGTAAATTGGGGAACAAGGGGGGAGTGGTGGAGCTGAAGGGATATGAGGGGCAGGAAGCCAAGGGAACCCAAAAAGAGCAGAGTGGGGAAGGAAGAGTGAAACCTCCCCAGCAGCATTTTAGGGAGAACCCAGACTTGAAGCTTTATTCTTCCCCCCCCCCCCCCCCCCCAAACAAAAAACCACACAGCCAGGCCAGCCTCAGCAACTTTTTACTAATTACACAGAACTATACAGCATTTTATACAAAAAAAATATTATCTGTACAGTGTGCACGCTCCTGTTCCAGGAACAGACCTTTTTCTGGTTGTTTTTATCCCAAAGGATAAGAAGGGAACACCCGGAGCACACCGGGGTGAGGAGAAAGGACACTCCTTTCCCACCTTAAGGTGCCATCCCATGGGAAGGGGACAGAAGCCCCCCAGGATGGTGTGGGGACAGCTCAGGGTGGGGAGAGCGTTCCCAACACCCGCAGATGCACTGGGTCCTCCACAACCACAGAGATGTCAATGAGAACAGACTGTTTCACCCATGGACGGTGGTGGGGGTCACACTGTGGTCCCAACAAATGGAGATGGTGTTGAGGAGTTGACACTGCGGTCCCTGTCACCTGAAAATGGTTGTGGAGATCAAACAGTGGTCCCCAACACACAAGAGGTGGCGATCAGGAGGTGACACAGTGGTCCATGTCACCTGCAGATGCTCATGGAGATCAGACTGTGGTCCCAAAAGATGGAGATGGCATTGAGAAGGTGGCACAGCAGGCTCTGTCACCTATAAGCAGTTGTGAAGGTCACCCTGTGGTCCCAACAAATGGAGATGGCATTGAGGAGGTGACACGGTGGTCTCTGTAGGTGAGTTGTGGTGCTCTCACTGTGGTCCCAATGCACAGAGGTGCTCAGGAGGTGTCAGAGTGGTCACTGTCACCCACAGGCAGCTGTGGCAGTCACACTGCAGTCCCCAGGAGGCAGAGATGGTGGGGACACTGCAGTCCCTGCCCCCCCACGGACAGTTGGGAGGTCCCCATGGGTACAGTTGGTGCTGAGGATGCACACACTGTGCTTTTTGTTACCCCCAGACAGAAGTAATGAGGTCACAGCCCCATCCCTGTCACCCTCACACAGGGTCAGGGATGTCACACTTTGGTCCCAGCACACAGAGATGGCAGTAAGGGGGAGAGGGGTGGGGGTCACACTTTGGTCCTCAGCAGATGGAAGTGGTGGAGAGAAGGTGACAGTGTGACCTTTGTCACCCACAAATGGTCACAAGGAGGGCACAGTGCTGTCCCCTCTCTGGGGAGATGCTGGAAGGAGGTGACACTGCGCTCCCCTGTACCGCAGGCAGCAGTGAGGAGGTGACAAATCAGTGCCCAATGCATGGGAGACCCCTGGGAGCATTTTTTGGGGAGCACCACCCAGTTGGATGAGACCACCCCAAGCCTCTCTCCACCACGTGCCCCAAAGCATCATCCTGGTCCCCCACCCCATGAAAAAAAGGAAGAGAATCTCAAAACCAAACCCAAAAGTCCACCCCAAAGCTGCTAGACGGGCAGGATCTGCTCCAGGATGGTTTTGGAGGAAGGGGGGATCCTGTCAGGGAATTTGACCTCAAACTCAATGATGAGGTCTCCACGCTGCTCGGGGCTTTTGGGGTATGGGAGCCCCTCGCCGGGGATGCGCCGTTTGACGCCGGGTTTCAGCACGTCCTTAAAAACCATGGGGATGGTGCGGCCGTCCAGCGTCGGGGTGTTCACTGTGCAGCCACACAGCGCCTGGATATGGAGCACAGACAGTGGGTCAGAACTCAGAAACCCCCAACCCCCCCCCAAAATGTCACCACCGCCCCACAGCACTCACCTCCCGAAGGCTGATTTTGGCCGGGTAGATGATATCAGAGCCCTCACGGCGAAAAATGCTGTGGGGTTTATCCTTGACAACAAAGATGATGTCGGCGGGGATGTTGTTGGGGGTCTGATCCCCCTCTTTGGGAAAAGTGATTTTGGTACCCTCCTTCCAGCCCCGCTTCACCTCGATGCTCAGGATTTTGTCCTCGTTGCGCACCGTCTTCCCGTCGGGATTCAGACGTTTGTGAGAGATCTTCATCTTTTTGGTGCAGCCCGTGTAGATTTCCTCCAAAGAAACCCTCAGGTCGTACAGCACGGGGGGGTCCTGCTTACGGCACACACCATCCTGCCCCCCCCGGCCACGGGGGAAACTGATGTTCCCAAACCCCCCCATGTGAAAGGTGGTGAAAGCATCATCGATGTCCATCTCCTCATCACCGTTGCGTTGCACAAAGAAAGTATCAAAGGGGTTTCGGCCATCAAAGAACTCAGCAAACATGGCGTGGGGGTCCCCACGGAATGTGTAGGTGAAGGTGGGGCCATTGGACCCTCCAGGCCCCGATGTCGGCGCTCCACCCTTCAGCCCTGCAGAGTTGGGAGAAGCCAGGCTGTCACCCC